GGTTACTCCAGATGCCTCTTGGCAGGCTCCTCTCCCATCCTGCAGCTGCTGCTTGCACCAGGAGAGGTAGGCATGTCCCTGGAGCAGGGTTGTAACTGATCCCGGGCTCCTCTTCCTGCTGCCTGCTTGTTAGTCCTGGCTTGGGGCTTCTGCCCAGGCACTTGTAACCTCATCTCTCCCTGACTGCTGGTTCTTGCTGCACTTTGTGATGGGGAGAAGGGCTCTTAGGGCTGAGCAGCAGAGCTTTGACACAGCAGTCTTTATCCCTCTATTCATTTCACAGCATCTGTGGCTCCCATTATATCGGGCAGGGCACCCTGCCCATTTCTGCCCCTACTCAGACCCAAGCCTTCTGCCAGTTGTGAAACCCTCCTGGGCTCTCCTTGCTCCCCTGCCCTCCCTGGTGGGACCACGCTGGGTTGTTTCCATCGCATGGCTCTACCCATGGAGCCCATCCCATCCCCACGTGCTGCTTTCCTCTTCCCTCACTGTGCTCCAGCCCCTGTACCGGCAGCCGGCTCCCAGCTGAGGCAGTGAAAGCTGGTATGGCCGGACGTGACCTTAACCTGGGCTTTATTTAGTGCCTTGATTTATAGAGGAGTTATTTTAAAAGCTTGTTTCTCTTTTGGGAGGTGTGGTGAGTGTGTGGCAGAGTGGTGGCAGTGAGCTGGAGTTCATAGGTCCTCCTGTGCTGTTGACAAAGAAGCATTTGAGTCCCAAGACACGTTTTGCTTGGGGAGATGCTCTCTGGCTTGCTTGGAAAGCACTCCTGTTTGCCTTTGTGCTGGGTGGCTGAAAAAGAGCAAATGTCCAGGACCTTTCCTGTGAGGGGGATGTGGCAATACTGTTGGAGGCAGGGAAGCCTGAAATTTGCAGTCCCTGGAGGAGGCTGCTTTCTCCAGGAGGCTCCTGTGCTGGGCTCTGCCAGCTCCCGGGGGCTGCTGTGGGCTGGCTGAAGTGGAATTGTGCCGGGGCAGGAGTGCCCTCGTCTTGGATCCTTGTTGGTTTAGCTTGTTCCACTCCTCTCCGGGCACTGTCCCCTCATCCTGGGTCGCAGAGGTCTCTCCTCATGCCTGCATCTCCTGCATCGCCTGCTTGAGATAAGGGACGTGGTTTGTAGGTAGGATGGGCTCTAGACTTTGGGTTTATCGGCCTCTGGAGCACAGGATGCTATCCCCTTCTCTTGCTGTCTCAAGCTGGTTTGTATGAGTTCCCTGTGCCTCCAAACCACGGCTCCTCCACACGTGTGGCAGCAGGCACTGCCCGCAGTCTAGATGTATGAGGCTGGCCGTCTGCATTCCAGCATTAAACAGCAGGACCGTGCGGCCTCTTGCAGCCCTTGCTGAGGCCCTTTCCTCAGACCACCCTGCAATCTGAGAAGTTAATTAGTACAAATAAGCAGCCCCATCCCTAGGATTGTGAGTTGGTTTAACGAGTCCATGACTGGAGACGAATCTGCTGCTGTTGCAGGCTCCAAGCTCTGCCATGTTTCACCCTCTGTGTTTCAAGGTGGCTTCTGAGGCTCTGCCATGTTTCGCCCTCCACCGGGGCAGGACCTATCCCTAGGAGACCACCCTGGGTGGGTAGGAGCACTGAAAAGCGGTGTTGCCTCCGTGTTCATCTGCGGCACACGGAGGCTGCATCCATCCTTGTTCCGTAGCTGCCCAAGGGTGCTGGTGCTACAATCCCAGCACGATGGGATGTGGGAATTTGCTACCCTGTTTGGGGCTTTTCATGTGGAATTAGCAGAGATTGGTGAAAACATCTCTTTCTACCAAGCGGTAGGGGTTGAAAGCTTTTCTCTGTCCCTTCAAAGCCTGCACAGCTATCATGGCTCCGTGGTGTAGTCTAGCCAGAGAGATAAAGCCTCTGTGCTAAGGAGTGCAGTGTTAGCACTGAACTCTGCAATGGCTACAGGCTGTGGTTATCCTGTATTTTACTAAAGGAAGGATAATATACGACTTGGTTTATTTTAACCATATAAAGGATTTTTGATTCGGTGCCAATGTTAA